AAATTAACAATATTTAAATGTGTAATAAATCATTTTAGTAATATGCAGTTAAATCTATAAAATTACTATTACCTTTTGAAATACATTGAATTCATAAATTTCTTTAATAAATAAATCTCGATGTAATTTTTCAAGGTGTTTAAAGATTGTTTCTTCCATGTCTGATTTTACAAATTTTTTAAATTATAACTTTTTGTTTCAAACAATATTGAAATATGAAAGAGAATCTAAACTATATTATACTCTGATATATAATTATTTCTCATATTACAAATATTAATAATAGATTATTTCAAAAATCAAAGGTAATCTGAGAAAGAACCATGACGTTAAGCTTTTGAGAATAATATAGATCTACACTGTCTTTAGTAAAGATAATATTATAATAAATAAAATCTTTGAACAACTATCTTAATAATCCGGAGTTAAGCTATTAATTTTTAATATTGAATGAACTAAGCAACAGCATGAATTAATAAAAAAATAAAATAGTATACTTCCTTTTTTGTAATACTCCTCTTATCTCAGACATCTTTTCTATGTTTATCATCTTACTTAATTTCTTGAATTGAAACTAATTGAATTGATTGAGGATAGTCTAATAATTTCTAAGAAAATTCTAAATAATGATATCTAGATTTAATTTGAGAAACCTGGATTTAGGCACAAATCCATTATATTTTGGAATATGATCTTTGGAAATCAAATTAATAATTAATGGAATAATTGAAGATTTAACAGCCAGTTTGGTTATTAGAGTAGCTAATAAATAAAGAAAGATTGTTGGAACTACATTGAATTATGGTTATTAAAGAGACCCCTTGATTATTAAGGTCTTCGTTGATGTGGACAATAAGTTAATGACTATAACTTTGAAGATGCATCCAAATGGAGAGAAATTCTAAAATACAATAGGTTCTGCATTTCAAGCATTTTAAAATCAAAATACTCATAAAAGATCAGGATTTAAATTATTGATATAATAAAAAAATTATGAAAACTTAATTCATATGTAGTAAGAAGTACTCAATTTGACAGGTGGTCTTTTATCCACTTGCTCTTTTCTTATAAACAAAACCACTAAATCATTAGAAATGGGTTTGAGGAAATAATGGTAACTAATCAGAACATAGAAAAAGTAAATGTATAGGTACCAGAACAAAAGAAAGGATTAATGTTTAGAGGAGAAAAATTCAATTATGATTCAGAATATTTTGAATTTAAAGAAGAGGAAATAAGTATTGATAATGATTGGAGTTTTGAAGAGACAGAATATTTATTCAATTAACTGAATAAATATAGTTATAATTTTATAGTACTGTCTTATAGATAATCTTATCAAAATAAAAACAGAGATATTTATGAATTGAAGGATAGATATTACAGTGTTGTTAATGAAGTATTATAGAAAAGAAATGAAAAATTACATTTTCTATATAATTTTGTTCTGATGAAGAATATGATCAATTTAGAAATATGACTTTAAATTTGTAATGAAGATAAAAAGTTATAAGAAGATCTAAGAAAAGTTGATCCAAAAATAAAAAAGTGAGAGAGGGAACACAAAAGTTTATGTAAATCTATTAATCTATAAGAATAGGATATGATTTGTTATTTGTCATTTAGGATATTGATGATAAATTAATAAATTATATTATAGAAATGTCATCAAAAAATGAAGAAGTTAAAACGAAACCTACTGAAAGAATAGTTTATTTAAGAAATAAATAAAAGAAGTGCTTTAAAATAA